ATCGGAAACCAGTTTTAATCATTCATTCTGTTTTCTTTAGAACAAAAATGAAAATATAAGTAGCGATCCTTTTTATACATTTTAACTTCACGCTATTATAAATGGTTTCTTCAATGACAACTTATTAGACTTAGGCAACTTCTCATACATTTTCCAGTAAATACTGTTGCCTGCCTATATTTTAATATTGATTTTTAATGATTATACATAATTTTCTTCAATTTAAGCGTGAAAAATATATAATAATAATAAATTAATGTTTTAATTGTTTTATAAATCCATATACTTTTATTAAAACTAACATATATACTTTTTATTTACGAATTCTATTAAAAATTGTATTTGTCAGTATAGGCAGAAATACTCCTTTAATACCAAAACAAATTGGCGCTGCTGTCGCGCACGGAGCGAATAGCATAAAGTTGTATTTTTTTATATGGAACGGGTAGTTGGCTGTGGCATACAAAAAAAGACAAAAATTCTCCCTTTCTAACGATATTTATAATGTGGGGTCAGTTTATTCATTTTCAATGTTATTTAGCAAAAACTCATTATTTTTAAAATAATCTATAATACTATGTTGTTTTTGAGTAGGTTTGTGTCATTCAGAATATTTTTGACAGAAGTATCGGCATTTTTACAACACTGATCATTTAATAACGTTTGATTGTTTATGATATCATCTTAAGAGTTCAAAATGGCCTATGAAAATAGCCAAATGTTTGACATGTTAGAGTGTTTTATTCAAAGTAATAATAATTCTGAAGTTGCAAGTGAATTATCTTTTAATAGTTACCCAGAAAGAAGACAACCTAATAATTCTATTTTCAAACGATTAAAATAAAATCTCATAAATTATGGGACTTCTAAAAAACAAGGATACATAATTATAATATTGAAGATTCTGAGGAAGTTGCCACCAATGTTATTGGAATGGTAACTGCAAATCCTTCGATGTCAAGTCGTCAAATTGAAGCAGAGTCTGGGATATCAGCAAAACGAGCGTTAGTTTTAAAAAATACTAATTCAGACCCTATAAAATTAGGAAATAGCAACATCTCCAACCAACCGATCCCGAACAACGTCTAAATTTTTGCAATTGGTACCTTGAAAACTGACCGGATCTATCATTCTTTAAAAAAATCATGGACAGATAAATCTTACATAAACAGTGCCGGAATTTTCAATCTACATTACGAGCATTGGTGGCTCGACGCACGATACACAGACTAACGGTATGTTCCTGCGCATGCAGCTGACTAAAATTCGATATTTTGCCAATTTTAGATTTTATGCAGTTACTTAAGCTTTGTTGGTTATTTTGTAATATATTTGTTTACAAATATGAAGGGTTAAGGTAAATAATACTAATAAAAATATTAATTTTTCTCATAAATTATAGGTATTTTGTGACAAAATCCATAACCTGGCCATAAGATAAATAAAAAATATAGACTAAAAATAGAAGTTTTACTCAAATTTTTACTTTCTGGGCATGGTAGTTCTCTTGCAATCTCTTTTCTTATTACGTGAAATAAAAATAAGTGTGCAGAAACAAATTATTCATTTATAAAAAGTAAGTAAACAAGACAATTACTTTTTATTTGGTAAATTTAAATTTTTTTTGTCAAGTTTACTTTGAAAATACTCAAAACCAATTTTTCTGTTCATTTGACTTATTCTTATATGTGTTCGTGTCCTGCTCATGCATGACATTACTTCAAAAGGACCGTTGTATTGGGACAGGAAACTACTGTTTATCTGCTAAAATTTTAAAATACCGATTTATTTTCTTTGCTTAATTGGGCCAGTGGACCTGGTGGAATTCAGTTTCCTTTTCTTGCATCTATGTTTAAGAGTAATCTCACAACTACTTTCCTCAATGTGGATAGGGCAAGTTCAATTAAGTTTGTCCATTCTTCGATAAAAATTTACTCATATTTTGTGGCATTCAGAAATATCTCCACGCGCAGCCCAGTATTTTAAACATTAATTTAGTTCTTCCCTGTTATATATTGGAAAATATATTCAGTACTAACACAAAAGCAAATAAATTATTTTACACTATTCGATCGAAAAGGGTCAAAATAACTTAAAAGTTCGTCCCGCATTACGTCATTGCGCAGTTTGGACGAATTTTGAATCGAAAGTCAGTATTCGCGATTCAAGCTAAGTGATACGCCCTCTGGAGGAAATTTGTAGAAGGTTCGAATAAGTAGGATATCGTTCAGTGTTGCCAGAAGTAGCAAAACTTCGCTACGTCGTCGGATTTTAGCTCTTGAAGAAGTGGATAAGACCTTTTATTTAAGAATCAAAATTTGTGTATGTTATCATACTCTATATTTATTTAAGGATTTTTTTATAAAACCGATTTATTATATTGATTTTTTTTAAATTTCAGTTCATTTATTAATTTTGTTTTAAAATCAGTTCATCATTTGGCAACATTGGCATTCGTGTTCATTGTTTACATTTTAATTTTTATCAATTACAATTATTAGAGTTTTTTCTTACTTTTTAGCTTTAAATTTGTTTATTTCTTATAGCATGTGATAGTGTTTATATTAAAAATGAAATCTGTGAAGAAGTCCCCAAAAAATTGCAATCTATACGGTGTTAATGTCAAAATCAAAACTGAAGATTCATTATTTTCCAAGTACAAGTCGTAAAATTTTGTTTTTTACGATAAATGGATATCTACAAATTCACAATATTGAAATTTTACAAAACTTTGTTTAGAATCAAACTGTAATCTTACTTTTTGACGGTTTTATTACCATTTACATGTATACAAAGTACTACATGATTCACTTCATAATATAAGAATAAGTCTAGTAAGATTTTTAAATAAATTCATCAATAATAAACGTGTGGTACCTGAATGTCCTTTAAACCACATAATACAACATGTCCTGGGTTTAGTGAATACATATTTCTAGATGTTCTTGTAACAACCAATAGGTGAATATTTCCAACAAATTAAGTCATACACATGATAAATATTATATTTATGACGAAAGCACGAGACTTAAACTTAAATTAACACTAAATGAAACTAAAAAACACTATTACAATGAGAATATTATCTAAAAACAATTAAAAAAATCACAAATACAAAATCCGCCCAAAACAAAAACATGTAAATAAACAAACATCCTACTTATAGATGACAAATGACAGGCGCGCGAAAATTAATTTGAATCGCCAATACCGTTAGTATGTGTATCGTGTGGTCCGACGTTAACCCCCATCGTAACTTTGATGTCCAAAATCAGGGACGTTTCGGTTTTAGTGTTTGGTGTGTCCTATTGGGCAATGGCATTTTAGCCAACCAAATTTATGTTGGAAAACTAAATGGTCAACGATACTTAGAAATTTTAAACGAACACCTATCCGATGGTTTTTTGGACGACTTAACGCTGAATAAGAGACGAGATACATTTTTTCAACACGATGGGGCACCCCTCACAATACTAGAAACGTCTCTAAATTGTTAAATCTTCATTTTAGAGACAAATGGATAGGGACAAAAGGACCGGTAAGGTGGCCACCATGTTCATCAGATTTAACGCATCTAGATTTCTTCTTTTGAGAATATATTAAAGACAATTTATACAAAAATACTTCTAATAATATTGACGAAGTAATTCAAAATTTTATACAGTGTGTTAATTCCATCTCCAATGTCCATATTAATAACGCAATTAGGAATGTTTCCAAACGATGTCGTTCATCTGTTGCGAATAATGGACATCAATTTGAAAATTTAGTCTAGATAATATTATATTTTTTAATGATATTGTAATTGGTAGAACAGCATCGTCAATATTATATTTCTTTGTACCCGATTTGTTAAAAGTTCCATAATGTAAGAGATTTATTTTAATTGTTTGAAAATCGAATTATTAGGTTGTCTTCTTTCCGGGTAACGATTAAAATATAATTCACTTGCAACTTCAGAATTGTTATTACTTTGAATAAAACATTCATACAAATTATATTTTTTATTTATTTTCATATACCATTTTGCTCTTTAAAAGTCATAAACAATCAAATGTTGTTCAGTATTTTAATAACATGCAATAACAGATACTTTGTCCTATCAGAAATATTCTAAATGACATAAGCCTACTAGAAAACAACAGAATATTATAGATTATTTATAAAATAATGAGATTTTGCTAAATAACAATGAAAATTAATAAACTGACCCCACATTTTATATATCGTTAAAATGAGAAAATGTTTGTCTTTTTTTTTGTATGCTACAGCCAACTACCCGTTCCATATAAGAAAATATAACTTGATGCTATAACTCAAATTTGAAGAATTAAAAAAAAATGATTACGACACTGGATTCTTATGAAAAAAGTGCCTGAAGAAGGTATAGAATATTTTCTTCCACTTTCATAAATAAGCGAGATAATGCCATATAATGAAAATTTGAAAAAACGGACTTTTGTTTATAACTCGAAAACAAAAGACAATAGCTAATTTTTGAAAATGCTTTTAAGTTTTTCTCAAAAAAAAAATGGGATATCCATTTTTTCATACTGATTGACAGGTTTGTGTGACAGTGTTTCCAAGTAGTCGACTTTATTTAAATAAGAAGAATCTTTTCCAAGTCCTAAGAAATAGTTGATGTAAGCTTTAAAATCGTCTTTAGAGCTTTTAATTTCTTTTGAAACAGGATAAACTTCTACTTCTTTAATCTATTGCTTAACTCATGATCATACTGGTGAATACAAATTTATTGAATTTACTTCTTTTTTATTTGTTTTACATCCAAGAAGATAGTACCCTAAATACATTGTATACATAATATAATGTATTTTTTTTTAAATAGTTTATTTATTAATTACTTTAAAATTATCGAAAACATTCCTTTACTCAATGTTCCAATACAATGATTAAAAATTATTTTTTCTAAAATAATTTATCTATTCGAAATATTTTTTATAGTTTAACAAAAACCATTTGATATATTAGAATAGACTTACCTCATAATATAGGAGAAATATACACATCAGGAAACAAACATTTTTAAATGTTAATATTTTTATAAGATTCATGTCCACTAAATCCTTGTTGTTTATATTCTTTTGCTTCTCTTCTTCTCTTTTTTTTCTTTTTTTTCTTCTTTTCTCCTTCTCTTCTTTTCTTCTTTTAGCTTTGGCTTCAGAACAATCACTTTCACTATCGCACTCTTAATGTCTTCATTGGGTCTATTTACAATTAGAAAAGTATTATCTGCCCACGGACGGAACATGTTAAAAATGTTTACAAATATCTCAAAAAAATGTCAATATCTTGATTCGAAATAATTTAAAAAAGCACAAACATATTTAACGAACTGCATGAAGAAATTGACTATTTTATTAATAGAGAGATGGTCAATTCAAATATATATGTTGATGGACATCGAACCGTTTCCGTTGGAACGAATAATGCTATTTTATATTATTGTTTATTTTTAGTGGTTTAAAGGTGCTATATGGACGACAATTATTAAAAATGATTTTGATAATAAAATAATAACAATAATTCTGTTTTAAAAGTAGGATATTTTTTATTTTGAAGGTATACGATGAACTATTACTTAAGGTTTGGGCATTTTAAAAGTGTTTCACATACTATTATTTTTTATACTCAGAAAATCTATTTTGTACTTAATAGAAAAAAAAAATGAAGAACTAGGTGAATAAAACAAAAGTACATAGTTATAATGTGTACACTAAAATGATTTACTTTTATAATTGTCATAAATTACTTAAGACTTTTTCTATGAACCATAGTTCCGAAAAGTAAATTATTTTCTAAATGTTAATCAACCAAAATCAAATACATAAAATCTATAAAAAAAAATTCATAATTTTTAAAATAGTTTCATTACCTTCTGAAAAATTTTAAAAAAATTTAACACTGATGACGCAATGAATTAAATAATATCGGGATTTCATAAATAACTAGTTTATTATATTTATTATCTTTATATCGGGTCGATGGTGTAGCGGTCTAACGCGCTTATATTCATTTATAGGCAAGTTTATGAGTCCGAGACTGCTGGACTTCGAATCCCAAACCAGACCATGTGGATTTTTAATTAAATTTCATGGTTCGGTTTAGGATTTGATGTGTGCCGTATTAATAGAAATTCAATTTCTATTGATACGACATGCAGATTATAAAATCGCCATGCATTATCGTCTCGATGATGGTGGGTGAGGTTTTCCGGGTTTTCCTCACCTGTTAGTCAAATGGCACCATCAATCATCTTTAAGTCGCCCAGGAGCGCCACGGCAAATAATAATAATAGCCGTCCCTTTCCCCGCACAAGCTCAGCTTTTGGGGTTAAAATTCACTCGTAAGGGGGTGAATTAGGGAGAGTATTATTATTATCCTGTTTTCATATTGATTCTGAACCATTGGTTTGTGTCAAAAAAATAATTTCAGACACCCATAAACTATAGTGCTTTCAAGGTGCGTACATCACCTCTTATAATTTTCAGAAAATATCTCAAAAAAATATTTTCCAAGAAAAACAATCAAGGAACTTTAAATTTCAAAATATCATAATTAAAATACAAGAATCCCTAAATAGCCCTATTTTAAATATAATTCCCAAATTTGAGCTTTTAATGACTTCTTAATGATTCTTTAAAATTTGGCAAAATTAGTGGCTAAAACGCCACGTTAAGTGCTGCCTCCTGCTAGAATGCGCTTTAATTATCGTATCGTAGACTCTTAGTCATCATTCGTATTAATTCGTTCTCGTTCTCGTCTGCTTGCATTGATTCGTAATACGGTAGATATTTTATTTCCGAATCTATTAGGTAATATAAAACTTTCGGACCCTTTGCCTGTATCAAAGTGAACAACTCTAGGCGATCTCACATGCGAAGAAGCGATATAGTATGGATGCTTCCATTTCACGCATCATTTATTTATATTCTATTTAATATTACATCTCATGTTACAAACAATAGTCATTGAAAAATATATTCTAAAAGTTGCCTGTAAATTTCTAAATAGAAAATATTCTTTAAAATGGCAATCAAAACTATGTCAGTAACATTATTTATTAAACGATAATCTTGACTTTATTATCAAAAGTTTGTTAAACAGTAAAAATAATTTATAACGGATTTCGTCCATCTCTAGACCTGTTTACATTATTTGGTGCTCTGATACTCTTATCACTCTTATCAGTTAACCTTTTTATGTTTTTTTTGGAGTTTTTTTATATCACAAAAAATTTAGCAATTTAGTTTTCTAAATTTAACTTTTTGCACTTTTGCGGGAAAATTAGGGTAAGATTATCGATACAGATTTCACTATTTTTGTTACTCGCGTAGGTTAATTTATTGTCATTATAAAATTATGTTCTTTCATTAAATCTATTAAATCATTTATGTTTTTACTTTTTGTGACAGTTATTTAATCTTCAATGAAATCACTATTAATAATAACATTGTAATCTTTGTGTTTTTGGTTTGCTACTTTTTATAATAAAATAAAAAATTTACCTAAAAATTCAAGTTATTTTCTCGATCGATGCTTATAATTATAAATTTTAAGACCAGAAGTTTTACGACATTTAAAAATCAATTCTTGACATAAATCGTTAAAATTATTAATTTTTACAAAATTTATAGCTTTTTCAATAAAAAATTTTATTGCCCTCTACTTAATAATAATTTTGCAAAAATTATAAAATTTATAAGAATGAATTTTAATATTTCTCTATTTTTTATACGTGTCATCAGTTAGGTTATTAACCTCGTGTTATGTGTAGGCTGTTTCCAGGCGCGACTTTAGCAATTTTACTCTTAATTTGAACCTAACAATGAATGGTTGAATAGAGAATTCTGCCTAGGTATAGAATTAATTTTTAATTAACTATATTAATAATTAGATCCCGGTAATGATGGGATTCAAACCCAGTGCCCATGGATCCTAAAGTCCTACCTCTAACCACCTCCAGTTAAAATATTAAAATACTGCCAGACTACCTAAATAAACAAAATAGGTATATATAACTACCTATTACACTTAAAATCTGAAAAGTGTGATGGTAGAAAAATTATTGTACGCAACATGTACACATGGCACTTTTCTTTGTAATTTACGTTATTACTAAGTTATTACGTGATTTTAGGCAAAGCAAAGTTTATATGGAATATTTTTTCTCAATAACATTCTGTATTTAACGAATAAGTGTATTAATAAGGGCGATTAACAATCGAGATAGTTAATGTTCGAGATTGTTAATTGCCATTTTAATTTAAGAGTTTGTTACAGAAGTTTTCCATCGACCGTACTTTTCAAAAATAAAGATATTGCATTCGAAGTTTCTGCATAGAAATAGTAGTTTCTGCCACTTCTGGTGGAGTCAAATTAAACTCTTCGTCAATATTCATTTTTTGATTTTAAACTATACATAGAGTTTTTGTATTTTATGAAATTAAATGACATACAATGACAGATAGTATTAACACACCTTCTTGATTTCAAATGTATATGTATGTTTGGTTGCCTACGTCATAGGTAACTGTCAATATAAATGTATAAGAGCAATCAATGTACGTTGGGTTGCATATAATAAAATCGTTGATTAATAAAAAATCATTCATTAATAGGAGTCATTACTCAACGATTTTGAGTGCATTAATAGTATATTATGCAACGATCATGTAATGATGGTTATTAATACACGAGCATTAACCGGGATACGAAACGAGCCAAAGGCGAGGTCTATGCGAGTGTTTTAATAACCATTACATGAGAGTTGCATACGCTATTTTTTCTACACCCGATAAATAATCAAGACCTATAAATATTATATTTATATTGGTATTGAACACAATAACAGTAATTACTCGTATTTCTATAAAAAATTCTACAAAATTGTAATTAATGGTATTACTTCGGGTATTGGTATTTCCCTAGATTTTTGCTGCAAAATATTTTGTACTGTATTTTCTGCTTTCTCCGATATGTGTGGAAGAGTCATCTATATCGCTGATATGAGACATTTTAATATTATAATTATCGAAGTGTAGCTATCTACGAAAATTTAATACGTTTTGACAACTAAAACAATTACATAGAAACCTAGGACAAACGTCAAACAGCATGCTTGATTGAAAAATAGTAGGTTTCTATTGATTAAAAATCTGTATCGTAATGAAAAATCTGTATCATAATGGGTATCATTATGAAACGGATTATGGGCATATAAGTGCATTATTATAATACGGGTGTAGAAAAAATACATTATAAATGGTCGGTCGACGGAAATGCAAATTATATTTTTTTCTCGAAAATACGTTTCAATTTAAGAACGAAAATTCTAACTCAAAATGGAACCGATCTGGGTATTTTATACAAAAACAACCCTGGTTAATCGCTAGATTTCCAGGCAAGACATACATTGGCTCTGAATCCTCGATATCAAAACATAATTTAATGAATGTTAAGAAATACAAACTTTAATCGCAATCAGGTAAAATAATGTGTTCTGTATCTGTATCTGTAACGTGTGGAGGATGGGTTGCCCCACGGCACTTATGCCTCATTAGGCCCATTGTGCATCTTCCTGAGAAGATAGGCACCTCCTAGCTCGTGAGCCAGCCTACAGATTTAATGTAGTTGACAACGTCGCCAAGAGGTGCTTCTCTTCTAACGGCCGGTGTTAGCCGATACTCGCCGAACACAAATCTTCTAATAAATGAGAGCGTCGAGCACTCATAAAGGATATGCTCGATGGTCTCATCTTCTTGTTCGCACCCTCTGCAGAGTGCGGATTCTGACAGCCCCTTTCGTACTTGGCAATAACCAGTCAGAATGCCTGTGACTAGGCGCAGATTCTGTCTAGTCATAGTCCAGTATTTGTTTGCTGTAGTGTTGTCAGGATAACTTAAGAGCTCCCTGGCAACTCTACAGTTTCTTGTTTCATCCCATCTTTCCTTTAATTTCATGAGGGAATGTTCTTTGATTAGGTCTGTCACTGCCGATTTTGTCAGGCCAATAGAAGGGCCTAATCCAAAAAGTATTTGGTTGGCTGCTTTCTTGGCTAGTGAATCAGCAAGACGGTTACCTTTCAATGTGGCGTGACCTTTAATCCATCTTAAGATGACCACGTTGTTGATGGATACTTCCGCCAAAGCTTCGTGACATTCTAGTACTAACCCTGAATAAATTCGTGGACTGTTCAGAGTGAGTAGTGCTTGTCTGCTATCTGTATAGATGAGCATGTTCCTTCCAGTAATATTGTTTCTGGTTATTTCTTCTGCTGCTATGAGAATCCCCGTTAGCTCTGTTTGAACTACACTGGCACTATTGCTCACAGCCCATTTGATGTTTAGGTTTAAGAATCTGGAGTATATTCCACATTCTGAGCCTTGTTTTTTTTTTAGAACCGTCGGTGTAGATATAAATCGTACCTGCCATTTCCGGCTCTTCTATTTGTTCTATTATAACTTTATATGGCTTATGAAAGATATATTTCGGTGAGATGGACTCCACGTTCGCTTCAAGCAGTGGGAGCGTATCCAGCGCCTCCTGCCAAAAGTGACGTCTCTCCTCACCAGATCCTACATCAGGTTCTATTCCAACCTTAAATAAGATTTCGACCATGCGGAGGCGTGTCATTGTCGTCAGAGCAACCTCCTTGAGGTAAATATCAGTGAGACTAAGAATGACTAGATGTGGCCAACCCCTTTCCAATCAGAGTTCCTTGACCAATACCTTCATTGCGCTTCGAAGGTATCGCCATGACAGGCGTTCCTTTCTCTACAGTTCCTTGCAACCGCTTTACTCTTATGGTTTCACTACTTTCAAGCAACATGGATCCTTCCTGTTCTGCCACCGGCAAGGTTTTTCGATTCGTAGTGTTCTTTGGGCGTTTGCGCAAACTGCTTATATTTCCCATTTCACCGCAATTCCAGCACCTAATAGTCTTCGGTTGCTTCTCAATAAGGGTTTTTATCATGTGAAACAATTGGTCCAATTTATTTCCCTGTTCTTCTTCTTTTACAGTCCTTATTTCACCAGAAGCCAGTGTAGCCGCTTCATATTCAAGAGCAGCGATGAAGACATCGACCAATGTTTTGTGACGGGCTAAACGAAGTGTTCTTTGCATTTCATGGTCACGAAGTCCACCTACAAATGCTTGAACGGTCAAACAGTCAATCATGTATTCCGGAGCTGATGGGTAGGCAAATTGCATCATCTTCGCAATATCTAATTCAAATTCTTGAAGGCTCTCGTCACATTTCTGTTTGCGATTCTTCAACTGTAAGCTGTACACCTGCTCCAAGTGTTAGTTGCCATATCGCATGTTGAGTCTCTTTTTTAGTTGTTCAAAATCATCTCTCTTCCACGGGTATAGTCTGAAGGACATCTAAAGCGTCTCCTCGAAGGGCGATTGTCAGATTTACTGCCTTTTCTCTCTCAGATTATTCGTTTACTCTCGCAGCTGTCTCGAACTGTTTAAGGTAGTTAGTCCATGACATCTTTCCGTTGAAAGTTGGGGATTTAACACGAGCAGAATTTACAGCTCCTTCCAATTTTAACTTCGACTCCACCTCATGGCACTTTATTTCATCGTCTTTGTCCGGTTATAAATGTTCCAGTTCTTCCATCTGTTTTATTTTCTTCTCAACGGAAGACATTATTTTCTCCTCAACAGAAGACACTCTTTCTTCTAAGGAAGAAATATTGGACGAAAATTTATTTTCTAAAAAACATATTTTGCATTCCAAGTTGGAAGAAATTTCGGTTTTTAAAGAAGAGATATCAGAAGAAATTTTAATTTCTAAAGAAGAAATATTAGAAGAGATATCGGTTTTCATGGAAGACATATCAGAAGAAATTGAAGAAATTATAGCAGACGCATCATCCGAAAATAGAAACGTTTCCGGATCCAAACCTTCATTTTCTAGTGCTTTTTTAAGTCGTTCTGTCAGCTCTTATTTCTTCCCTGTCCTCTCCAGTTCACGTTCTTCTAATTCTTGACGTAGCTCAGGCACTTTTAAATCACATAGTTTTTTAGCCATTATTGTCCACTATTTATTTAAAGTTCCACTTCTAATACCAATGTAACGATAGTCTAATTTATTTATAGTTTATTTATTTAAAACACACTATTTACAATTTATTACAGAAGTACAAATTAATTTATATAATACTTAGACACTAACTTACAAATCTAATTTATCTATTACAATTTATGTTTTCAGTCCAATACTCTATATTTAACTAACTTCCGTCTTCGTACTCGCGATATTTATATCAAACCAACTCTGTAACCAGAATACTCTAGATGGTGTGGAATGTCCTAGACTTTCATCTCTATAACATAACGTCACGTACCTACCGCTTGTTCTGGTATATTCGAGAAGCGTTTGATTGTCTTTATATTGCCAGCGCACCACTAGACACCCTACCGCGGGAGTAAACAACAGACAGGGTAGGAAGATCCCTCTAAATCGTTAAATGAAATTAAAATTATAAAATTATTTAGACTATCAAAAGAGGCGGCCTCTGATCTACTTGTAAATATGAAAACAACAATAGATCCTCAATTTTTTTTAATTCTCTGACATATTTTTTTTTGTATCCATCGTTGTATAGATCACCACAATTATTTTTTTAACGCAAGGAAAGAACAAGAATCAAAAATTTTTATACACTGTCCAGTATAGGTCTCACATTTAGTGTCTATTTCATCCACAGAAAGTCTAACAAAGTATCTTCGAAGATTATTAAATACATTAAGTAGGTACGATATTTTTTTCTTCTAAAGATAATGCTTTAAGTCCACTAGGTCGTTTTGGCGTACTTGTGCTTGCAATATTTTCTAATGCACTACAACTATAATATATACTAATACAAAATTCCGAATCAGAATTTATGTAAATTATACTGAATAAATAAAATCTGACTTATTTGTCAAAAGAAGGGGTTTCTTACAGTAAAAACCATGGAAACATGATTAAATCTAAACGAAAACTTTTATTAGGCCTACCAGATGTATTAAAATTTTCATTTTAACTACAAATAAGCATTCAAGGATGAGGTATAAATAAAATGTCTATCTCTTGAACCTGTACTACGTTCTGCACTCCTTTCTTCTCTAGACTAGAATACTTGTTATCTGTCAGCTGATTTAAGTTGGATTGCTACGCTATTTATTTTTAATAAAAAAATCAATAATTAATAATATACTTTTATTTTCTTAAATAGGTACGGATTGTTATTTTATGATCATAAATTATATACAGTTCGGTATATTAATAATAACAAATAAACAATAACTAAAATAAAACCTAACTAATAGTCAGTTACGTATTGGTGGTTAGGCCTCCTTTGCTGTAGAGGAATGTTAATGTCTTCTGGTGACCTGTACACTTGTTGGGGCCTAAGAGTTGTTGGGGAGGCGTATTGGGGACGAGGTTGTCCGGTTACACGAATCTAAAAATAAGGAAAAGTATATAAAGAATGAATTAAAACTTATACTTCTACTTCTAAAATCTGCTAGGGAGTTTTGGAAATAACCGTTCGTAAATTTCATAAAAAATAATGTCGGTACTGATACCTCAGACATCAAAATAACTGAAAATCTCTGAACGATAAGATTGAGAATGCATTGTCGTTAGATTAAAGATTAAATAGTGTAAAGTTTAGGCGAAAATTGTGAGAAAAGATCTTTTTGCTCTAAGTGAACAAGATCTGTTTGAGAAAATGGGGCTCTAATTTATTACTATATAATTGGCCATCAATGGGGAAGTATGGGTTGACGTGTGGCGTAATATATATGTTATGGATACATGTATTTAAAAATTGTTGCATATATAGAGAACAGAGCGATATGCACTTCCGACAATTTACACGTGGAAGAAGCGTTGTTTCGTTAAGTAAAGTATATATATTATTACTGAAAAAAATTGATTTGTTATTAAATAAACGTTTGGTAGTAAGAACTTAACCAAAAAGTTTTTAAGTGTGGCAAATATTTAAAAAAATAAATCTTGTCTTCTCAAAAATACCATAGTTTTAAAGATAAAAGTGGTTGTAAATATTTTTTAGGTAGCTTAACAAATCAAACGAACTTTTACATTGTTTTTAAACTTACAGAGTGTTGGTGGTGTACAGGAGTGTCATCATCTTCATCATATCTGGACCTGTACTGTTCTGGATAGTATCTGTCAGAGTATCTTAAAGTAATGTTGGGTTTTTGTTGATATTCTTCAAGGTTCAAAGGTTTATATAAAAAGTCGTTGACAAAGTGGTAATCGTGCGACTTTTCACAAATATTGTCTCCGCCAGGTGGCATGCAAATCAAATGTACCTAAAAATGAATATTAATATTATAATGAAGAAAGTAAATAAAGTAAAAAATAAAATAGAGAAACCCAGTTAAGTAAATCCAAAATGAAAGAAAACGAAGGTTTTTAACCCGATAATATAGCAAAATGTCCAGACACGTAAAATACAAGCAAGAGGCAAAATTTGCTAATGAAGTTTCAGTTTGGAGCGCGATATCATCTGGTAGGATTTCCAGACCCTATGTAAGACGAGTTAGAGGTGAAGCTATGGGTGAAGTTATGTTCACAATTGCTTAACAAAATTGATTAACTTGATCGACCAGAATCATGTTCAAGATGATATTATGTTTTGGCCTGACACAACTTCATGCCAATGTATACGTGAAACTCAAAATTGGCTGATTGATCACAATATAGGGGAGACTGGGGTATAATGATCCCTCGAGGATAAATGATCCCCACGAATATAAACAAAACTAGCAGTGCCATCTGTTGGGTAATAGATGAAGTATAATCGAAAGACTAAATGCAGTGACCGACAACAATCTGTGAACAGTTAGGCTCATTTTAGCGCCATTTACACGTGCATAATTGTTTTACTGATTTTCGATGGTATTTCGGGGCTTTTTCGCAGCATTGTTAAAATGGTATTCAATTCGTTAATTTAAAAAACTGAACACGGTTCGAAATCAGATAAGTTTAGACTACTTACCTTTGTGCTGCTTTGCGTAGCATTTTATTGTCTTAAATTTGTAGGTTAGGTTTTGTAGAATATTTGCTTTTGGGGTAAAACGATTACTTCATGATAGGTTAAAATGATCCGGGGATTATTTTACCCCATACATTTTTAGAAACCTAGCAATACGTTGATATGGATATCAAAATTTGTTCTGGTTATTTTCAGAATGCCACGTATGTACCACCGCAAAACCCAGCGTCAAAGCTGGGACCCTGAGAACGTGGCAAACGCCATAAACGAGGTAAAAGAGAATGGTATTTCATATAAAACTGCTGCATAAACATTGCAAGTGCCTTTAATGTTCCTTAAGCGCAGAGTTAAAAATAAAACACAATTGTCAAAGAAAATATAAAACGTTTAGGAAGCAAAACTTCGACATTTACTGCAGATCAGGAAAATGAACTTATAAGCCATATTTTAGACTTTGAAACCAGAATGTATGGGCTTACAACAATTGATCTTCGGCGCTTGGACTTTCAGTTGGCTAAAAAAAATAAAATTCCCCATAATTTTTCCCGTATAAAATAGATGGCTGGATATGAGCCGGGGTCGATGAGAACGATTGCGATTTTGAGTGTGATTTCTGTTTGCATCAAACCCAAACCTATCGAGTTAAGAAAAATATAGTTTTAAATTAGTTAAGGTATTAAAAGTTGCTTGAGTTAATTTTGTTAAATAATGTTGAGTAAGTTTCTGTTTAGTCTTAAAAATGTTTTAATGCTTTTTATGTTATGTTTTATGCTTTTTTTTTATAAATAAACTAATGTTTTGCATTTATTGTTATATTATTTATTGAAATAAGTGTAGTAGTAGAATAATGTTTTGAAAATAGGATCATTTTGCCCCATGTGGGGGATCGTTTTACCTCTAGCATTTGGGTAAAATGATCCTTTTGCAGATATTAACAAACATCATTATCATTCCAAAATGTGAAGAAAATCAACATCTTTTTAACACGTTGACTGCCGATACCATATGTAGGACCTTCTCGAATAACCGGACCTTTTTTTTGTGCAAACTTGTAAAAAAAGTATTCCTTAGTGATGTGTTCATTATTATAAATAATTTTAGTTAGTCCTTATACCTGAAACTACTGTGACTCAAGGGTTGAGTCATCGGCCTCTGACTACTATTTTCTCAATAAAAGGCCGATGACTCAACACTTGAGTCAGACCCAAGAATTACCTATGTGATGAAAAATAAACACTAGATGCATGCTCAAACATTTGTTTATTATTAAAATGCATTGTTTACAAATAAACAATGAAAACTCAAATACAATTTCTAAAAAGAATAAAATAATAGACATTCTAACAAAACTAAGAAAATCAAATACAATTTCTGAAAAGAACAAAATAATAAAATGGTATAAGCATTTCTGCTTAGGAAAACGACATAAAATCAAAAATACATAAAATACATATAAAAAATGTATAAAAAATGCCAAAAACAAACCAAAAAACCAAAGGAATTTTATTTCGTGTTATGGTACATCCGAAAACAATTTCCGAGGCAAAGTCCTGGTTGACCGGGACAAGCAGGGCAAAAATATGGGGTATTCTTACGGATTTTCTGTTCATAACACATCCTGCACCGCTTTCTCATCTGACATTTTTTTTCATTCAAATTATATTTTTCAGGTAAATGGTCAGGCTGTTCGTTCGGTTTGTTTTTGGAATTTTCAGGGGTTTGGTTTTCCGTTTGTGACAAAAGATTTTTAATTATACAGTGCCGAAAGTCATAATAACTAAGCTTTTTTTTAGTGGAATATGTATTATACATGTAAAAAGCGTTGAGAAGCATAATTGATATAAAATGGATGATAAGCTTTTTATACCACCTAATTGTTTTTCTCTCACTTCCGTAATATGAAAGCATTTGGTCCTGCCTATCTATTCCTGACATATTTTTGTTATATTGAATAATAGCGTTTGGTTTTTGTTTTTCTTCTCCCCGCCTATTTTCTGCACTTGTCAATTCACCATCAAACTCTGTAGAAATAAATAGTACTTCTCTTTTGTCACGCCACTTTCCAATTCCAACTCCGCTAGAATATTTCATCGTAACTTCACCTTTCTTCAATTTTTTGGAGGTTACTTCTGTTGGATTTCCTTTTCTGTTCTGTCTTAAGGTGCCCGTAACATACGTTTTTTTTGAAATTAGCTCTCTGCACAAAGTCACACTATTATAATAATTGTCCATAAAAAGAGAATGTCCGTTTTCAAAATATTTTTTTACTAAACTCATCACAACGTTTGCTGAATGTCCTAATTCTCCCTGCATATCTTTTTCGCCGCCGGTATATATTCTAATTTTTAAAACAAGACCATTAGGTTCCGATAAAATATAAAGTTTTACTCCAAATTTATGCTTTTTATTTTTTATATATTGTCTGAAAACAAGTCTGCCTCGCCAAAGAACCATAGACTCGTCTAATGAAAGATTTTTATTGGGATAATAAATTTCATCCATTCTTTGGTTAAAAAAATCTTGAAGCCACCTTATCTTTGACAAACGGTCGCCAAATCCTAAATCGCCTCTTTCCGGATTTTTCGACAGATGTAGGCATCTTAAAATGGTTAAAAAACGATTTCTACTCATATGTTTTCGAAAAATAGACAGATTATATAACTCTTCAGTTTTCCAGTAGTCCTGTAACCGGTTTATCTTTATATTGCCCATATGAAGCCACAGTCCCAAAAAAACCTGTAAAGTGGCCACTGTTATAGGTTTCCAATCCGTTATTCTTGATTTTTCCCTGGTTTGTTTGCTGAGGAACAATTCTTTGGCATAGCTGTTAGTTTCAGTTACGATGTTTTCGAGAAGTATATCTGTTAGAAACAATCTAAAAAAGTCCATAGGTTCGTCAGATTCTAAATTTATCTTGAGACCGGGATTGCCCAAAAAGGGAAAGTCTTTGAAATTAGGGTCTTGACCCCATGAAGGTAACTCACTATAATTTATTTGATCGGTGGTGGTTGGTTGACTATTATTCACAGCAGGAACGTCTTCAACATCTTCCTCCTCTTCGCTCGAATCAGTTTCGTCCGGCTCGTACTCACTTTCACTCTCTAAAAACGGTTCTTCATCACTTTCAGAAAAATTAATTAATGCTTCTTGTTCACTTAATGTTAAAGCTTTCTTTCTTTCATAGTCTGTAAGTCTTTTTTTAGGCCTAGATGGTCCCGGAATTTCACCATCCATTTTATAAATATAACAAACACGACCGAAAAACCAATACACAGAAAATACGTATTTATACTCTATCAAGAGGCCGACGTGATATAAACCTATTTCGACAAAAGCCGGAGCAACACTGGTTCATAGTATATTCAATTGCACTTGACTCACCAGTTGAGCCATCGGCTTTTGGTGGGAGGCCGTCGTGGCTCAACAGTTGAGTCATCGGCAGTCAACGAGTTAAATACTAAATTGTTGTCAAATGGACACCAAATCCTCTAGAAAAGACAAATAAATTTACATTGTCGTTACCGTCATTACCGTTATCATTTTTAACTTTTTAAAATTGTATAAAATGTATATCCAAACTTTTTGATATACGTTGTGTAAATACACTTTTACCCACTACTGGATGCATTTTTTTTAATTTAATTTCTTGCATTTAAATTAGTGTTTTCATCATAATACGTCCTTGTTATGAGTAGATTGAACTTATTGGATAATTCTGCAAGTTTGGTAAGTATAACTTTCTAACTCTTCGTCAGAATTAACGAAGAATAAAATAACCAAATTTTTATGGAATATTTTCACACATGACAAATGATGAAGAAAGTTGTTATATTATCAAATATTTAAATGATCGTTAAATATAGACAAGATAAAGCCTTAAAATTTGGATATTAGAATAAACTTTATTATTATGAGATGGGAAAAGTAAAATTAATTAACTTTGACAGCGACAATAATAGAAGTAAGTAAATATAATGGCCGAAATAAAAGGGACCATTATGTTTGAATTTAGAAAAATCTTGAGAATAATAAGAATACTCATAAAAAACATGTATGGATCAGAATATTGGTCAATGACAAAAAATGAAGTACAATGGTTAGAATGTTTTAAACGAAATATCCTGTAAAGAATTTAGTGACTAGTATTTGATAATAAAATTTATGAAAGAAGAGTTATAACTATAGAGTTCTACTAATTATTAGTTATTAAAAATAAATCACATGTGATGGACTGGACAAGTTTTGAGACAGGTTAAAAAAACAACTTGGTGAAGAAAGACTTGTTTCATCGAATAGGAGTGGGACAAAGTTGAGTAAGACCTACTAAATTATAATAGGAGAAATGTAGGAAAATGATTGAGAAGACCAAAGCCCATCAAGAGCTGTAGGGTAATGAGAAAGAGAATAAACTTTATTAGATTATTTTCAAATTGTTTAATCAATTACTATAGACCTTTTCATCACAATTTTTTTTTGTGCGCATGTGTCAATATCGGCCATCTTTTTCGTACTGTTTTTGTTAACAAGCATGTTAAAATGCCCACTCGAAAAAAATTATAATCAATAAATATTAATTTAGGTATATTCATTTAAAAAAAAGCAAGAAAAAGTAAAGTAATAATTATAATCATGTTATTTGTACGGAAACGAAACGGTGTTGTTATGGAGTACGTAAAAGTGACACACAATATAAATCATTCAAAGACAATACATATTATTTTATAAATTTTCCAAAACCTTGGCTGCAACATCGTAAAAAAATATTAAATTATCAGAGGCCAATAATCCATAATAAAACATGTTCAAAAAGCGCAAAATATGCATTAGGTGTAAAAAAATGTGGTCGAAGTGACAAAGGTTTTCGATGTATTGATGATGTTACTAAAGATACTTATATTTCTTCAATACATTTTCATGGAGCAAATGGTCCAACAGAAGAAAATTCTTATATGGTATTACACAATATTTTTTTAATATTAAATACTACTTTGGTATACACAGTAATATGATTAAAAATGTCATATTGATCCTTAAAATATTAAATTATTTATTTTATTAATTATACCCGCGATTAACTATCATGTTAAAGTGTTTTTGCAAGTACTAAAAGTTGGTTGGCATAATTAATTAGAATGGAGTTATAATTATTATTTGTTTTCATTAATTTTTTACACAGTTAAGCAGTATTAATAACCTCTCAATCAGTCCCCTTTTTTCGTTCCTAGTAAACATCTAAGACACTTCAACCACCTTTTCAACTGCTCACAACTATGCGCTTCCACAGAGTTATAAAAAAGTTAATCACATCTACGATTTTTTCTAATGATTAATTTTTCTCTAGAGATAATATTGCTTTTCCAGCCATTGTCGATCAAAACAGTACGAAACTTTTGAATTGCCGCTATTTTAACATGGTGGCTGCGCTTGCGCTCGTGACATGATGAAAAGGTCTATTCAAAATGATTAGATTCCACAAAGTATAAAATGTAGATAGTAGATACATATGATAAATGTTATTATAATATTTTAAAAAGCAAATGGTTAATATGGATTGACACCCATTACAAAATATATAAAATTTAAATAAAAATACAATATAAAGTCTACCAACTTTTTGACTCAATCTGTGTAAAATGTGCAACTTATCTTTATTAAATAGCCCAGGCTATTGCAACTGGATATTTGAGACTCTTCCCGTATTCAAATGTCATTTTCAATAATTTGTGACTCACTAACTAATAGATTTTATTAGGAAATATTACTTGATATCAGTAAAGCATTAATCTTGGAAAATACTTGCAATAATCTATGTACAACGTATCAAACAATTAGAAATTTCAACCGAATATAATTTTTTTGTGACCAGGGTAAAGAGATATGTAAAAAGAGTCTAGCTAGGAGTCTAGCCAAAATGTGTTAATAATTTATCTATTGTATCTATTGGTAAGGGATGTTCAAAGCTGGAATAAAATATGGTATGAGTTAACGGACTAGAGTTACTTGGACTGATCTGGAAATTTTCAGCATAACCAGACACCATTAAGTTATCTATAAAACAATAATTATTATGGTTAAGAAGAGAAACTACGAATATAGAAAAGAGATAAACAATATAGCTAAATTCATTGTACAGACGACTTCTAGAATGTAGTGTGAAACTACGTAGTAGAACTAGCTAGATGAGGAAAATACAGTTACTCTCACTTGGGTCCCGGGACATAACGGGGTACAGGGTAACGAGATTACAGAGAGTATCGCAAGAAAAGTAGCCCAAATACCCTTTGTGGGACCTGAGCTGTTCTGTGGTATCAGCAGTAACACAATATTAGGAGAGATTAAAAAAGAATTGGACAGTAGAAGAGCCGATTATGGAAACAATCTCTTAGGGTGAATATAACCAGAAAAGATCGGAAGCCTAATTCTGCCTGAGCAAGAATAGGCTAGTAAACTGAGAGTAGTAGAAAGTAGCAAGTGCAGATTCTGTGAGGACGAGGACGAAACCTCCATTCACATTCTGATCGAATGTGTAGCCTCTAGAATCCAAGGGCACTATACCTAGAAGCATATTAAATAAAAGAGGGATATTTACCTAAAGCCACTCCAAATCCTACACACCTTGAGAAGGTAGGATTGGAAGGGTCGTTATAGTCATTGAGACATTAGCGAGAGAAGAGGGCACAATATATCTTTTAGATCGCAGTGTTTTAACACCTAATTCCCAACATAACGTAACATGTAGTAGAACTCTTGAATGGTGGCTCAAATAAGCCTACAGTTCCACTACATTGGAACTCTTGGATCCTGCAAACGGACTAGGATGATAGTAGAAGAACCCAAAAGTGAACCGTTTGGAGAAATAGACAAAGAAAACTTAGGTCTGATAACTACAAAATAGGAGTTGTGTAAATATCAGTGGTTTGGCCATATATGCCATTTTTTCAGATGAACAAATCACCGTTTAAGAAAACATGGTTTATTATCAGAAAAGAAGCTGAAAAAGAGGTAATTAAAGAAATCACAAGATATCGAATAACATAGAAAAATTATATAAAAATATGAGAAACAGAAATAAAATATATGTAAAAAGAAATTAAGTAGCAGTAAACAAAATGGACCATCCGAACTTAGTCCTGAACTTCCCGAGTTGTGGATCTGATTGACACGTTAAGATGTGATTTGGTTTCAAATTTATTTAAAAATTGTATTCTTTACTTTGGGATAAAATTAATTATTGCACAATTAATTTAAAAAATATTTTCATAATTTATGGTCTTACTTGATGGAAGGTAAATCCTTCAGGGCAAATCCAGGAATGCCTAGCATTTTCCTGGCAGTAGTGGAAGACTTCACATCCCAATTCTTCGTCTGAATAGTATCCAGTAGTTTTTCCGTTGCAAGTAAATTTAGTTTGTGGTAAAAGCAAGCTTAACCTGTCGGGTTCTTCTTCTTCCTCTTTTTCTTCTTCTAATTTATTGATTGCCTAAAATAAAAATATTGAAAGATTTATTAATTATATAATGGTTAAAACATACCACAGTGGTAAAATTAATAATTTTATTGATTTTGAAACAGTAGGCAGATCTAGTTTTATATAAAACTGAAGATATTTGAAAAAATTGTTTTATTCTAATACATTGGTTCTAATACAAATATCTTAGAAATATTAGTATAATGTTTTTATAAAGAATACAATTTCTCAATGCTTTATTGTTTTCTCTTAATTAGCAAAATTGACACACCAATTGTTGCTATTTTAACAATGAATGTGAAAATTTTTATTATAGCAGGATTTAATAGATTATTTCTATAAATAGATAAATAACTAGAAAATAATGTGAAATATTTTTTAACATCGGTATCCTTTGATTTGATTTAGTCAAATATTTAACCTTCATTGTTCAAAGATACCTTTAGTATATATCTTTCTCTTTTTTTCCTGGTTAGAAAGAACAAAATTTCCTTGAAAACATTTTAATATGCAAGTGATCCAATAATAGGTGCTTAAAGTTAAATTTCAATTTTGACGTACTGGCTATTTTAAGACAATAATATACAAATTAATTTTTTTGTGTGAAAAAAATAAAATTAGGTTGAAAATGAAATAAAAAATGTATTACTCCATTTAGAAAATCGTTTGTGTTGTGTAATTTTGTGATTGATATCCTTATTTGGACAAAAAAATAGATAGCCACGAGAGTAACTTGAGTCATTCACTTTTTTTCCATCTATGTAATGCGCTAGTTCAGTGTGATGTCATTTTGGTTCCACTGACACTTAATTCTAACTAAACTTTTAACAAATATATCAATAAATTTGACATATACGTTTTTACTGTTTTTATTTTATTTTAAAATATTGTATACAGGTCATAAAAAATAGTTTAAAGGTATGTAATTGGTAACTAAACGATTGTATATTTGATACATGCTATCTACTTACTTTAGAAATATATTTATAAACGATAAATTTTAGGTAAACAAAACGAACAAAACGCACTCAAAAAATCTACTGTCACTTTAATTGTCAGTGGAACCCTCAGAGTAAGTAGAACCATAATTACATCATCAGTGAACTAGCGCATAGTATAATACAAAACAAAATGTCACGAATGTCAATTCCAATGACAAAAAAGCAGAATGCAACTGACAGATAATGGTTTGTATGGAAAGAAGTTTGTTTCGCAGTCATTGTAATTTTTCCTACGACCACTTAGGAAAGTGACACATATCACACTATATAGTCCCAAGTGAGAATATGTTACTTTCCGCAGTAGTTGTCAAAAAATGTCAAACGCCTAATTTCTATTTTGATCTATGTAATGTCCATATTAATACTAAAATCGATATGATTGTTAAATTATTGAAATTGTTTTAAATTAGATCCTAGATATTTATCTTTAACAATTATTATTAAAATAATTTTAAAATAACTAAGATTATGTTTGCTCTTTAATTTGGGTAAATACATAACCGATTAGATCATTCAATTGACGTAAGGCCCATTAGCTCAGTTGGTTTAGACGTCGAACTTATCAACTTTGCCATTTTTTGACCGCGTTCAATCTATGGTTCAAATCCTGGCGGAGCCGAATTTTTTTTTTGTTTTTTTTTTATTTTTTATTAGTTTTTTTTGTTAAGAAAATATGAAAATTGAATAAATACGATTATTGTTGATTATTTTTTTAAATACATTTTAATTAATATAGTAATAATAACCTTGGTTTTACATTTTTTTGATATTATTTTGTAAGCTAATTTCTATTTTGATCTATGTAATATCCATATTAATACTAAAATCGATATGATTGTTAAATTATTGAAATTGTTGTAAATTAGATCCTAGATATTTATCTTTAACAATTATTATTAAAATAATTTTAAAATAATGTTTGCTCTTTATTTTGGTTAAATACATAACCGATTAGATCATTCAATTGACACAAGGGCTGTTAGCTCAGCTGGTTAGGACGTCGAACTTATCAATTTTGCCATTTTTCGACCGCGTTCAATCTATGGTTCAAATCCTGTCGGGGCAGAATTTTTTTTTTGTTTTTTTTATTTTTTTTTATTTTTTTTTTATTTTTTTCAGTTTTTTTTTGTTTAGAAAATATGAAAATTGAATAAATACGATTATTGTTGATTATTTTTTTAAATACATTTTAATTATTATAGTAATAATAACCTTGGTTTTACATTTTTTTGATGACATTATTTTGTGGTCGTAGGAAAAATATTGTACATCACTTGTGTGAAAAGTGATTTTCCACACTCGTGTGATAGTCGCACTCGGCTTGCGCCTCGTGCGACTATATTTCCCACTCGTGTGAAAAATGTCACTTTCCACACTCGTAATGTAATATACTATATTTAACACAGCGATAGTCCAACACTGCGGTATAAGAAAAAACTATGTGACAAAAGCTAAATAAATTTTTTATCATAGATGTGCATAAAAAAGTTGTCAAAAAGTTACACACATTTAGAGTCTAATTTGGTAATTAAATTGTATGAATTACAACAGTAAGAAAGCCACATCCAAAATTAATTTTAACTATATGATTTTAAAAGTTCGAACAAGGGAGAACCACAAAAATCAACTAATTTTTCTTCCCTTGTATGTATCAAGAAAGATGTGTGGCTAGCCATAATTCAAAATGGAACCATAAACCAGACAAAAAAGACCCGTAACAATACATAGATCATTCCAATTCAATTTCCGTATCTGAGAAGAAGGGGTTCCTTCATTGAAGGATTAGTTATCCTTCAAATGAGTTATAACTGAGATATACTTCTACTACATGAGCGTTTCAACCTTTGTTCAGTTTGAGATATATTCTTAAGAATCGTTCTGTTTCTGATTCTGTTACCTCAAATTCTGTTTCCATATTCCAGTTCCTCCACCAAAATTTTAAAAAGTAACTACTAATTTATAATTTTTTTTTTTAATTATTTAACCATCCATCATAATTAATTTTAATGTATTATCTAATATACCAAGAATTCTATTGGTATACTTCATATTTGTAGGTATACATATCTATTAAATAATATACTTATCGGGACGATGAAGATGATCAAGTTACTAAATTTTTTAATATATTCATCAATATATGTATATATATAGTTTAAAACCTATAAAAATCATAGAATGCCAAAAATATTATGTTAAAGATTTACAACAAATTTAAATCTTGAAAAAATTAAAATAATTTATTTTATGAAATTATCAGTGACACTGGTTGATCCACCAAAATTTAAAAAAATGTATATTCTTGCTAGTAAATTTCTGATTCTTTTCAAAATCTCCACATTTGATTACCTTCTTTAACCAATCAAATAATATTATTTTTAATCGTTATTATGACAACATGGAAGCTTTCCGAAAATCTTCTGGGTACCCTAAGCGCGGTTACACTGGAAATCTTTCTGTCAAAAGAACTTTAACATTTTATTGACTTTTTCATTTGTGGAGCTATCAAATAATACAAAATCTAGATACAATCAGCGATTCAATTATTTGAAAAATATACAGCCTAACTTTTATAAATATATTGTTTTAAATATATTGAATTTCAACATTTAAATATTTCCGAAATTCCTCTAGTACCTAAATCTACATTTTTTAACGTAACTGGGACTAGATGTTGGGGGCTAGGTGTTAAATATGTATTATATAATGTAATATCTACACAATTTTGTTAAACTTAGCTTTTGAAATATGAGTAAATAATCCAATTATCTCCAATAAAACTTCTTGAATTCTTCCAAAAATTGCTTGTTATGATGTTTCAACCAACTGTATTGAATTAAATAATGCAAATGTTTCAGATTAGGATGAATTTTTTTAATATAATCCAGATATTTATACAGCACACACAAGTTATGCATTCTGTTTTCATTGTTAACTTAGTTGGTACCCTCACTAAGAGAAAAATTTCCAGAATTTGTTTCTGGTAGTTACGGAAACGGTTTAAAATAACAGCATTTGATCGGCTATAAAATAGAGGTGTAAACTTTTCCGAAAAATGTTCGGTAATAATCCAAGCTCTAGGGAGATTACCTACTAGTGAAAATTATTCTTAAGCAACATTTTACAAATAAGTACTTGCATTTGTTGTTCAATACAGGGTCTTCTGGCACATACAACAACACTGATTTTGATTGAACAAATAGACATTTATACAATATGTAATTACATTTTTCTGTTAGTTATATCTATTATAATAGATAATACTTTTTAACTTACTTTTATTGATTTAAATGATTTAGTTATTATTTTTATTTAAAATTAGACTTGTAATATCTTACAATCTTTCAATATACTAAGAGTATATTATAGCAAGTTTGTAAAATTGCATATTACGTCACTAGATACAACCCCCACAGCTGCAATACAGACGGGTCTAAGACTGCGGAAGGCACTGGGGTGGGAGTATTCTCCAAAAACCCTGATACTAACCATAGCTATGCTATAGGAATACATTCCGAGGTATTTCAGGCCGAGGTAAACGCAATTTTGCAATGTGCAAAAACAATGAAAGAGCTGTCGAAAATCAGCATATTCAAATAATGTCAGACATCCAAGCGGCACTTAAGGCAATATCGAGTCAGAAAGTTACGTCGAGGCTGGTATGGGAATACATCGAAGAACTTAGAACACTGACAGACCGAAATAGAGTAAAACTATTTTGGGTGCAAGGTCACCAAGGAATCGAAGGCAACGAAAAGGCTGACGAACTTGCAAAAAGGTCAGAAGAAACACCTAAACCAGACAACAAGTACAGTCCGGGGATTCTTAAATGAGTGGATTCGGGAACAACATATTAACTATTGGGGAAGCACCCCAAAACAGGCACATGGAAAAGCCTTCATAGACAGACCGTGTCCCGAAAGAACTGGAGAACAACTCTTTATGAATAGGAACCAGTTGAAAGTGATAATAGGGTTCATGACTGGGCACGCCCCAGTAAAGGGACACTTGAACAAAATTGGCATGTACAATGGGGAACTCATGTGCCGACTATGTCACAAGAAACCAGAAACGGCCAAACACATAATGTGCGAATGCGAAGCTCTAGATCGCAAAAGACAGGCACTTTGTGGACACCCCCAGGTTGATCCAACAACGTATAGAACCCACTCACCCAAGTATCTGTACAAACTTGTACAAGGTACAAAGGTGACAGAGTGGGTGCTATGAACTAACATGGGGTAAAACACAATAAGACAATAGGTTTTAGCGTTATTCGGAGACATAGTCAGACGAGCCCAGGAGAAAAAAAATTCCAAGCTCAATTACTTTCTTCTTGCTTGTTCAATATGGTACAATTATATGAATATATCTGGTGTATAAAATCGCATTTATACTTTTGGAGGCCCTAGTCGCAAATCGTTATCGCGTCACAGAATTTTATATATTTATTTTGAGACATATTATGATTGAGTACGAAGGTGTAAAGAAATTTCCTTTATTTTTCATAAAGTCAATTTATTGGCGACCGGTTTCGAAGTGATTACTTCATCATCAGGCACACCAAAATGGAAATTCATGGAGTCAATGTATTGAAAGGTGAAATTTATTTAATACAGAAATGAAAAATGAACAAAAACTAAAATAAAGAACAAAAGGGGGAGGTTACTAATAATTTGACTTACCATGACATATCCGGATAAGCTACGTGAATATATATAAAATAAAATCAGACAGATTATTTTAAAGGTTAAAAAACCAAAAGCAACTATAGGTGCCTAATTAAGGTTAGAGAAACACCTTAAGGTGTATATATACTTGCGTGCATAGAAATCGGCTCACTGTAAACTTTTGACTTTAACTATTTTTTTTTAAATTATGCATCAGATCAAAAAAAATATGCTGTTTGAAAGACAATTTAATATGCTTTAATGTTGTCTAATAATTAATTAATAACATTAATGTTGTTTAATAATTAAAAAAAATATAGTTAAAGTCTACGGTTTGCTCTTTTATATTTTTTCACCGCACTAAACCTTCTTCTCTTGTTTAGTTTCCCTGGGCTTAGATGCATCTCCATAGCGGCTATAACTGCCTCCGTGGTGACGCTAATATTTTCCTAGTAAGCACTGGAAATGTTAACAAAGTCCACAAATGTGTGGTTGGCTTCTTGAGTGATCTCCTGTTGATTTGATTTAATCGCTAGTTCCATTCTCTTTTGAACTTGGCTGCACCGTACTGATGAAGACCAGTAGTCAAAAACACGTGTCTACGGTTTGCCCTTGGGCATTTTTTTCATTTTTTTTTCATTTTTTTGCGGTATTTGCCCAATAATCCTTTTATATTTTATATTTTTTCACCGCACTAAACCTTCTTCTCTTGTTTAGTTTCCCTGGGCTTGGATGCATCTCCATAGCGGCTATAACTGCCTCCGTGGCGACGCTAATATTTTCCTAGTAAGCACTGGGAATGTTAGCAAAGTCCACAAATGTGTGGTTGGCTTCTTGAGTGATCTCCTGTTGATTTGATTTCATCGCTAGTTCCATTCTCTTTTGAACTTATGCAATATTCAGAAACACGTGTCTACGGTTTGCGTTTAGGCATTTTTTTTTCATTTTTTACGGTATTTGCCCAATAATCCTTTTATCTTTTATATATACATATATAATTTTTTTTACGACTACGAGACAAATTTTCCACTATAAAAATGTAAAGATAGTAAATCTGTGTGGCTGGTTTTATGTTTGGATATCTTCTATAATTTTAAATTACCTACACAATATCTTGTTTTTTTTTTAATAAATATAGTTATACCTGATTAGATAATACATTCAACATATTATGACTTCATGATTCACCTATATAGATGGTCGACTTTGGATTACGGAACTTGGATTCGATTCTAGATAAAATCAGTTTTGTAAGATCAATTTTTTTTTTAATAATATGTACCGTAAATTTCTTATATGTTAAGAAAATAGAGTTGACATTTTCATACAATAATCTTTTTGTCATATTTAATTAGACATTGGCCTATATAGAACTGTAATTTGTTTTCTCTTGTATTATAAGCAGGATAAAGTTGATCAAAATTTCTTTCTACAATTTTGATGTAGTTTCAAAATGCAGATAACCAAGTTCTTTTCTTTTTAAAAAATGTATGTACATATATAAGTACCTGAAGTTCTTCCCCACGTCTTAAATAGTGCTTCTGCTGTTGTTGGTGGTGTTGTTGTTGTTGTTGCTGCCGTTTATCGGGAAGTGGAGTAGAATAACCCTTGCTCACAGTAGTCCTTACTGGAATAGGATAATTCAAATTGGGTTGAATAGTCTGCTTTATTTGCACAGGATAATTTTGATTCGCATACGTTGGGGCACGATTTTGACTAGATTCTGCATCACTAAAAATAAATAAATATATTAAGTAAATATTTAATACACATATACTTTTTCAAAGGGCCATTAAGTCCAAGTTCAACGCGTTATCAATGACAAGTGACGAAAACTTTTTTATTACAAAAAATACAGCTCTGAACGACAATATTTTCAGAAATTGTTTTTAAAAATAGGTTCAGAGTACGATAATCAATAGTGGAAAGTCTATAATTTGTTTTACTTTTAATGCATAATATTTTAATAAGTGATATTTAACGTATTTAACAAATATTTAAAAGTTATGGATTTTCCACCATTTTTATAGTATTGTGATGTTTGTTTATTTTAAACAACAGTTTATTTATTAATAATTTATTTAAACACTTATTTATTTATAACAATACTATATATATATTTCGAATGTCTTTAAACTGTTCACTATTTATATTCACTGTCTATCTAATAACTACTATTTATCTTCACTCTCCATATAATAACTGATACAGCGTTATTCTCCACCAATATTTATATACCAATTTAAAATTATGGTAAAGGTTCCAGAACGTTCTCGCCAAAAATTGTAAACACTATCACGTTATATTTGGAATAGACTAGAAATAGTATCCCGTTGACTCTGGAATGTTCGCGAAAGTACCTCCGCCATAGTCGTCACATAGGTTTGGTCTTAAGGGGTTTAATTATGTATAATAATCGGACAAGTTGAGCCTCAAAGGCCAAATAAGACAGAGAGGGACTTGGAGGGTTAGAGCATGACTGAAAAAAGCTAAAACACAAAATTCACTCTTTTATTTTTGCCCTAATTATTTAAGGAAACTTGTGTTAAGATTTAAAAATGTATTGTCGCCAATTTGCAGCCGGGATAATTAAAGACATACGTTTTATTAAACTCATCGTGTTACGTATTTGTTGACATTAAAAGATAGAAATTTTAAGTGACGTCTTGTATTACTTCGAATGAAAAATCGTTTTCTAACCTAAGAAAAAAATTGAGTTGGATTTTAACCATAAGAGATCCAAATGGTTGGATAAATGGGAAAGAGGTTGCTCAGTTAAATCAACAACGATTCTTAAGATATTTTGAATAAATGAAACGAGATTCATTTCTTATTTTTACTTGTGCAAATGGAAATGGTTTTTTATTTGGGTATTTCCTCTACTTAAATTGTTGAAATCAACTTGTTTTTGAGAGCCCTTTTCTAATAATCATTATTTGACCAATATGAATATTTTATTAATTTATTTTAAATTGAAAATATAGTTATTTGTGTTAAGTTGATATTTTTAGCCGAATCAGAAATTTGCGGCCGAGGCGTAGTCGAGGTCAAAGAACTTCTGGTTAGACCAAAAAAGATCATACTGCCGAGGTGAACACAACATTTTTTAGGCGATTCTCATCGGTATAAGGACAGGAAAGTAAAAAATGAGAAAAGTCAAATATGTTCAACATCTTTAAATGTAGCCCGGACATTCGACCAGGTCTGGCATGAAGGACTAATTAACAAACTGGAGAATATATTATCAAAACAATAAATTGAGTGTTAAAATCTTATATCAAGTATATTATGTCAAACAGGAATGAGCATATTCTGTAATAAAGGATATGAACGAAGGAGTGCCACAAGATAGCGTGCTAGGACTAGTTCTTTACCTACTGTACCCGGCAAACCAAACATGTAACGATCGCTAACGTTTCTGCCATCCTAGCAGTGGGACATATGACAGCTAAGACACTATAAACTCCACAGGCATGTAACAATGTTACTGATTTGAACAAGAAGTGGAAAACAAGAATAAATTAGAGCAAATCATAATTTGTTGGCTTTATCTATAAAGAAAAGGAACAATTACCAATAACTACAAATCATAAGGACATTCACTAGATATAGTAAAATACCTGGGGATGAATCTAAATGTTTAATTAAAATAGAAAGAAAACGTAAAGAAAAAAGAGGGAACTGGACTTTTTAAAGCTAGTCTGACTCTATGGAATCCAACTTAGCAGAAAAGTACAATAAAAACAAAATTCAAATATTTCAGAACAAAGTGCTTCAAAGTGTTGTAGGGATCCATGGTATTATAGAAATGATCGCCTTCACAGAGATATGAAGATAAGACCTGCAAAGAAGAGATCAAGAAATTTGCAGGGGTTCACGAAGAAAGATTCCATCCATGAAAATACCAAATCCTAAATAATGCAGGCCTAAAAAGAAGATTCAAAAGGTTTAAATCTCATGAGCTTGTGTAGTTACTGTGTAGTGCATAGTGTTCGAACAGATCATAGTGAAACAAGGTAAAATTGTGTGTTCACTTTATAGCCTAAGAGACCAATGGGATTATCTGAGTTAAGTGCCCTAGTTTTAAGAAATTGAAATAAAATTGTAGGTTAATCGCTGCCGACTACTAACAATAAATTTATACAGGAAAAAATATAGTTGTGTGAAGCATACAGCTGTTTTAGAAACCTCTCGAGTTTATATAACGTTCCATGTTAGGTGTGAGATATTTACACAATAATATTATAGAAATATTCTTCTCTCAAGACAGTCGAAGAAATAAAATTGTTCCTAAAATACCATTATTCGATAACTATACCTATAGGTAACTATTTATTTTTTTGTAAGTCATTATAATGCTGGTTGGGTGTAATGCCCAACTAGTAATTAATATTAATAAAATTATTTGACCGATAAAACCACAGTTTTTTAAAACCAGGCTTTAATTCCTTGTTCGTTTCCTTTTAAGAGGTCCGTAATTTATTCTCCATGACAGATCATTAACAAAATATCTTTTGATACCAAAAAATCATTATAACTTTTTCATTGATAAAGCATTTTTCAATTGATAATACCTGAGTCACTCTTGTGATTATTTTATCTGCAGTGTATAATAATTAACCCTATTTTTATGTATTGCTAAAATTCCAGTCTTAAAATGAAAATGAGAAAGCTAAGCCGGTATAAAAAAAAAATAGTAATCGTGCTCGCTACCTTGATGATATTTTTTAACATTTAACATTTAAAATATGAATTGAATGTTTCTTAGAAATATTTAAGTAGCAGTTTATATACTTTAAATTAGTAAATACTTTCATATTTTACTATCAAATTAGGCTAATGTCAAAGTTTCTATTACTTTAACTGGACATGAAAATGAACCTATAATTTGAATACAATAAAATTGTAAAATTTAGAAGAGACTGTTACATAAATATGGCCTTGGTAAGAAAATTAACATTTTTCTGGTGGTCTATTGAATCTTGAATTTGTATTATTGATAGTTTTTTCATGTTTAATGAAGGTTTACGTGATGCAATGAAGTGCTATGTAGATGAAAAGTCATTGTTTAGAATAACAGAATAACTGTAATTTAAAAAAAAATAAAATGATTATTATAGTATTGAAATACCTAGAAGGTAATTGGAATTTAATCAAAATGTTGCAACTAGGTTATGAACTTTAATCAATCATTTTAAAATGTCATACCTGTCAACGTCATCATCGTAGAACTCCTCCTCTTCTTGCTTGTAAGCTTCCGTTGGCCTAAAAGTTTTTTGTGTCGCACCAAATCCTCTATTTTGTAAATGTTTCACTTGTTGTGCAGATAGTTGTGTATATCCTGGTATACCTGTTACGGCGGGTTCTGGATAGCATTTTACTGTCACTACCAGCATGCAACATATTGATAAATATTTCTTCATTCTGAAATATAAAAAATATATTAAAGAAATTAATTATAATGCTTTAATAGTAATATATTAACGTGTAGATACATTGGTAGGTTTTTAAATTTAATAAAATCGTAGTTTCAGAATTGTACTTCAATTAACTGTATAACAATAAAATAGTTTTTTCTATTAGGCATTCCAACCACCTATCAAACGATAACTGCCAGTAAGAAAATCTAAGGCGGTTGCGACATAGCCTTCCACCTTGGACGCTATTTTTAGTGTGAAAAACTGCAACCCTTTAGACATACCAAACCTTAGCAGAGCGTTTCATTTGTTAGGAATACCTAATTGCTGCAATACAAAATTGCACATTCTCAACCCTTTTTCACTAGTAAGTAAGGTACATTGTGTAACGTAATTTCATTTCATGATCTGATAAGATTATAGTATATTACATAACGAGAGTTGTAAGGAGCTTATTACATGCGAGTAAAAAAGTTGCGCGGGAGCCGCGTAGCAGCGAACGCAGTAATTTTATGAGCATGTAATAAGCTTACAACTCTAGTTGTGTACTATACTTTTTATACGACTATTATAATTTATAGAAATAAAAAGCATAACAAGCAACTTTATTTCACAAAATTCTGGAACAATTTAAATTAAACATTTATTTGTAATAATTAATTGTAACATTTTGGCAATTATTTTTAACTATTCCCTTACGCGGTGAATGGTGGGATGACGTAAACTGTACGGTGTGTTCTTCTTGGACATTGGTATTTTCAGTATATGTAAAGGTTTGTAGATTATTTTCAATTGAATTTATAATTCTATTGGCTGTTGACGTCTTATTATTTATTGACTCATCGACATATCCTTCGGCTGTTGTTGAAGATTTCCATCCGCCATGTCGTTTAAGAGCCACTAGATCACCACCGGCATCAACCAAAAGAGTGGCAGAAGTTCGTCTTAAACAGTGACCTGTATACATTTTGGGATCTGGTAACTTTAAATATTCGGCTATTTGTTTAGGAACACCACCTATTTTGTTTAATCCTACCACTTGTTTCGTACATTTACCTTTTTGATAGTTAAGGAAAAATTGATTTATTTGCGTATCGCTAATTTGTTGCCGAATCTCTATATATTGTTTGCAGATTTTATAGAAATTTCCGGAAATTACGAAAGATCTACATACTTTGGTTTTAGTATCAGGGATTTTAACCAATAATATGGTACTTAAATCATCGATATCACTAATTTTAATATTTTTTCATTCTTGTTTCCTACAAGCTCCACATATTCCAACAATTGCAATAACCTTAAAATAAAAGTAATATAAGTTTACATTTATGTTATAGATACTATTAAATAACATACCTTTCTTAATAAATATTGTACATCAGGAGCTTTATTTAAAAAAAGTTTTATCTGATCAGCATGTAAAATTTTAGATTTTTTGTTTTTAAAACCTTCTGACTGTCTTTTTAAGTAAGCTCGCAATTTCGGATAATTTTCAATGTTTACATTATTTCTCAAAGTTATAACACTACTTAACATAGAATATATTGCCCATAATGAGGACGGTTTACATTTTTTAGCGATTTCTCCAAAATAAGCCAAGAGTACGTTTTCAGAAAATGATTTTATATTATTTGTTGTACGCCAATCGATAAATTACTGATATACCTTTTTATATCTTCCTTTTGATTTTTCTGGTAATAGGTTATTGGTAGTGTTCGCAGCTAACTGAATAATATTGGGTGGTATGCTACTAAATTCATCTTCACTATCCGATGAACTCATTTTACTTTTTTCTATTTTAATTATTTGTACATTTACATTGACAGCTTGTATTATTAATTTAATTCTGTCAAAATAATGTCAACTGACTTACAAGGCTTATGTGATACAACATATTTTCAAGGAACTGAAGCGTAATTTTTTTTAATACGTGCTAGTCATTACGTGTTAGTAACTGTAATGACATATTTACTTAGCATTCAAATACTAGGTAATGGGCAATTTACTAGTAAGGGAGTAGAAAAAGTAGTTTTTCTACGACAAGGTAGGACAATTGTTGCGAACTGACATCAAGTCAGTATAATTAGGTATAATTTTAAAGAGTGGTCCACAAAATATATTTCTAAAGGAGGCCATGACCGACAAAGACAGATACACGAGTCATGTCCATGATAACTACTGCCGCGTTTGAGAATCCACATCGGATGCATCTGGGATGTTGTGAATTTTTTATCACGTGATAGTGAATTAGATCTAAATGTAGATGTAATAAAAAAACGCTCTAGACATTATTGGTCACGTGATAAAATGTCAATGACAAGTTAGAAGTTTATTCTGTTTAAATTTGACTTATGAGACTACAAATCAACCTATATTTGAAATCTAAACACTTTTATATTCATGCTAGCCACATACTTTGTATGTGATACTAGCATAAACAAAGAATAATTTGACAAACTTGGCTTCACAGAACACTTACTTTCTGGCATGGAACGAACATCTCATTCACATCTCATTTGAAATTGAGATGTAAAAAAACGTAATATGAACAGGTACATCTGGGATAAACAAACGCAGATGTAGATGTAGTAGATGTATCCGATGTGGATAAAAAAACGCTCGAGATGTAAAAAATGCATCCGATGTGGATTCTCAAACGCGGCATACGGCTTTGACATAGATCCAAATTGACACTTTAACATGCATGCATTTTTTCAAGGCCTACTTTAGAAACATTTTTTTATGGATCACTCCATATACAGTGTGTCCACGGATAGACTTAAGTTTATTTGTAAAAATATTTATTTTAAATTTTAAACGTAATTTTTAAGATAATTACCAGTTGGTAATAAACAAAATAATAAGAGTATCAAAATATATATGTAAAGCTAAACATAAGGAGTGATTCACAAAAAAGTTTCTTAAGTATGCGCGTTGGAAAACATTACGTATGTGGAGCTTATAATTCTTCTTTTTTTTTAAGTGTCAGTATGTATTTAAATCAGAGCTGCGGACTTCCGATTCGGACATCGCCGTGGTAACATTGAAATGGCGGTCTCCGAATCGGGAATCCTCAAGTCCTCAAAATATTCAGTGCCAAGAATTCTAAAGAAATGTAGTGGAAGAGTGAGGACAGAAGTCCGACGCATGAAGGTGCAGCTTTTCCACTTGAACAAAATTTGAAAAAATAACTTTTCTTGGGTGGATAGTCCTCGGATTAAGCCCATAACCACATTAAAGAAGAAGAAGAAGAAGAAATCAGAGCTGCGCTTCATTATCACGGACACAATAATATTATGTTAGTAATACTCTCCCTAATTCACCCCCTTACGAGTGAATTTTAACCCCAAAAGCTGAGCTTGTGTGAGGAAAGGGACGGCTATTATTATTATTTGCCGTGGCGCTCCGGGGCGACTTAAAGATGATTGATGGTGCCATTTGACTTACAGGTGAGGAAAACCCGGAAAACCTCACCCACCATCATCGAGACGGTAATGCATGGTGATTTTTATAATCTGCATGCCATATCAACAGAAATTGAATTTCTATTATTACGGCATATATGAAACCTATACTGAACCATGCAATTTAATTAAAAATCCACATGGTCTGGTATGCGATTCGACGCCCTGCAGTCTCTGACCATAAACTTGCCTATAAATGGATATAAGCGTGTTAGACTGCTACACCACCGGCCCGAACACATGACTCGTATCTCTGTCTTTGTCGGTCATGTCCTACTTTAGAATGATTTTTTGTGGATCAGTTTTTAAAAATAAAAATTATAAATTGAGATCGACTAGTAATTTTTTACTCGTTTTTATTAAATTTCTAATTTATAAATTGTAATTTGACGTTCCTATCGTACTTTTTTTATGAAAGCGCATTTTAATTAAACATTATTTACAAAGAAATATTAAAGCAATTTCAATTTCCTTATTTAATTATTTTTATCTTGTATGCTATAAAAACAATGTAAAATAGTCATTTTCGCAAATTGTTTTGATGAAATATACCCACTCAGCAACGAATTAAGTACGTACTGTAAATTTAACAGTTCCACTTTCTCATAACATGTACTTGTAACACACTTTTTTTTACTTCATTTTCTGCAAAAAGCATTTCAACACTGTGTTGTCTCTGTTTACATTTTTTCTACATATTTTTTCTAGATTATTGCATATCAAATGATAGAGGTTGTAGCTAGCTAATAAAATAAATAATTCGCGTTTGAATGGCATCAAAAATGATGCAATTCTAAAATATTTTAATATAATTCCATATTAGTATTACTTGGGCCTTAAAGGAAGTACTAGAGAGTAAGAAACAACGCTTTGTATCTTTGCTTAATATGAAGTTCTTATTTATAGGCCATTTCACCGTTTACTCACAAAATAAGTAAATATTGATATATGTTGGGCTCCGGTTAAAAAATGTTTATAATATCTTTTAGTTAACATTTAAATTAATTGGCTATGATAAAATATTTACCGCCTGTTACCTTATATCACGTTAGTGTTTCTAAGAATGTTTCTTTTTTATTTCCACATCAGAACTTATTTGCAAATTTTAGTTTTTATTCTATTCAGTGACACGAATAGAATCATTTATCGTATCAGAAATTACTATTTTAGAAGGTTTAGATGACGATAATATTAAATATTTAATATTAAAAAATTTCGATCTGATTCGAATGTTGGCGAGCGCACCCGAAAACTATAAAGTCGTCACTAACTTCTGTCATTAAACATCCACAATTAAAGACAGGTACAATCTTTATTAAAGTCAGTTCTAGAATGTAAGTGATCTGCGCATGCTTAGATGTCAAAATAAGAGCAGCATAATAATGACTGACCTTAAGTCACATAAATCAAAGTATGTGCCTTAAGTGAACTTGTAATAACTCTATCTAAACTGTCAGTTCCCACTTGTCACCATTTCGACAGGTCATTGGAATGCCTAGTTGTCGCTAAAGAATATATTATTCTTTATGACGAAATGTCAAAT